CAGCCCTCGACCCCGGACACGGGCATCAGGACCGGGACAGGGACGGACGGGAGCTCCGGTGAAAGAGGCAGAGCAGCCCGCCGAGGTGAGCGCCAGCGAGGACAGCCGCAGCGGGGACACGGCTGCCTCAAACGGGGACGCGTTCGCAGAGGACCTGCCACCCACCCTCTCTGCTACCAGGCTCTATGTGGGACGGAGCTGGCCATGGAGAAGTTGTACTTCGCGGGGAGCAGCATATGGACCATCAACAGCTCTCTGGGGAACGGCAGGCTCTGCCTGGAGAACCAGACCTCCGGGAGGAACAGCACCACGGACCCCCTGAAGAGGAACGAGGACATGGCCAAGGTGGAGGTGACGGTCCTCTGCCTCATCCTGTTCCTCGCCCTGACAGGCAACCTGTGCGTGCTGCTGGCCATCCACACCACCCGGCAGAAGCACTCCCGCATGTACTTCTTCATGAAGCACTTGAGCATTGCTGACCTGGCCAGACCTCCGGGAGGAACAGCACCACGGACCCCCTGAAGAGGAACGAGGACATGGCCAAGGTGGAGGTGACGGTCCTCTGCCTCATCCTGTTCCTCGCCCTGACAGGCAACCTGTGCGTGCTGCTGGCCATCCACACCACCCGGCAGAAGCACTCCCGCATGTACTTCTTCATGAAGCACTTGAGCATTGCTGACCTGGTCGTGGCCATCTTCCAGGTGCTGCCCCAGCTCATCTGGGACATTACCTTCAGGTTTTATGGGCCAGATTTCCTTTGCCGGTTGATCAAGTACTTGCAGGTAGTGGGGATGTTTGCTTCCACCTACATGCTCTTGCTGATGTCCCTGGACCGGTGCTTGGCCATCTGTCAGCCACTGCGGTCTCTGCACAGGAGAGCGGACCGGGTCTCTGTCCTCCTCACCTGGCTGCTGTGCCTGCTGGTCAGCATCCCTCAGATCCACATATTTTCTCTGAGGGATGTAGGTAATGGGGTTTATGACTGTTGGGCAGATTTCATCCAGCCCTGGGGACCTAAAGCCTATGTCACCTGGATAACCCTGATGGTCTACATAATCCCTGTGTTGATGCTGAGCATCTGCTATGGCTTGATCAGCTTCAAAATCTGGCAGAACGTGAAGCTTAAGACAGCTCATGGGCCCAACATGAGCTCCAGCTCCCACAATGGGACAGCATTTGCCAGGGTCAGCAGCACCAGGCTCATCTCCAAAGCCAAGATCCGGACAGTCAAAATGACCTTCATCATAGTGTTAGCTTTCATAGTGTGCTGGACTCCCTTTTTCTTTGTGCAGATGTGGTCTGTGTGGGACACGAATGCTCCGCAGGAAGGTATGTCCTCTCCTCTCCCATAGCCCTGCATTTGCATGGACTGCTTAAGCTCAGTGGCTGCAGGAACTCCAGCAGCAGACTCACAGGCTGCAAGTGGCAGCTAGAAACTGCTCCAGGCTGGGTCTCAGGGGGCTGGGGGTGAGGCAGGAAAAAGTCCCGAACATGGAAAACCCACCTGACAGGCAGCAGTGGCTGTGCCTGAGCTTACCCTGGGCAAGCAAGGGCTGGCTGAGCCCCGGCAGGTTCAGGGCCACCACAGCTTGGGGCTGGTCGGGCTGTGTGGTTGTGGTGGCCAGGGAGGTTTTTCACTGTCCCCGGCTGTGTGAGCTCAGCCCTCCGGGGTGCTCTGGGGTTTGTGGGGGTTCGATTGCCCACCCGGGTGCTGGGACGAGCTGGGGGCTGTGTGGGAGCTCAGCCCCATGCCAGGAGAAAAGAGCAGTGTTAGTGCCCAACTTTTCTTCCCCTTACTGTTTTGTCCTCACTAACTTTGCTTTCTGCTCTTTTGCCCTCTTTTCCCTCTCCCCCTGTCCCCTTTCCATCCACCCCAGGACCGTGCTGCTGTTACTTTATCTCTGACCGGAGCATGGTTTCTGCAGAAAGCTGCTGATTTATGAGCAAAGGCTTTTCCTAAAGGATGTGGTGTCACTGATTTGTCATTTCTTATACTTGGCGCTGGCTGCTCCTGTCATCACTAAGGTAGAGGCAGAGTAAAATACATTAGTCTCACACGCTTGTAACTGTACAATTCTGTGCTGTCACCTGCTGGAGGTGTCTGATGGTCCCTCTGCACCTGTAAGGAAAACTGCCCAGGAAAGCTTAAAAGAAAAACTGCACAACTTTGTGAGGTGGGAGAAAGGGAAAAAAGTGCATCCAGGGATGACAGCTCTTTGGGCAGGCGGACCCAAGCTCAGCAGGGATGCTGACTCTGGGGATGCCAAAGAGGGGTGAGGAGCTGCAGCCCCATCCCGGCTACCCCAGCAGCCCTGCCACGGCAAAGGGCTTCACAGTGTAGGGCACAGCTGGCTTACACTGTGCACTCTTTTCTCTTCTTTAAGCTTATCCCTGAGCTCTAACCCTCACTCTTTAACCCTGTCTGTGGAGAACCTGATGTCTCCTGCAGCCTGTGCGCATCTTGTCTCCCTGGGTCGAAGCTGATCGGAGCCAGGCAGGCTTACTTTGACCTTCTTGCTCCTCTCTGCTTTTATTTCAGGTGGAGAAGAGAAGCACAGCTCTTTAAGCCTCCCTAGGTGCTCCAGGCAGCCGTCTCCTCATTTTCCACCTGATTTAGGCTGGTTGAAACTTCTAGTTTTCAGCTCACACTGGGATGAAGCAGTGTCTCTCCCTTTCGCTGTATTTTAAACCTGCAATCTCGAGGGCTTCCGCCTGACTCATCAGCAAACAAACCTCTGCCGCTCTGCTGATTCCTGCGGCGCGGAGCGGGGGGATGGCCGGGGGGTCACTGATCGCACCCTACCTGCTGCTCTGGGAAACTTTCCCTTCCTCACCCTGTGCTGTCGGCCCTGTGATGCTTTTCCCTTTGATTTGCTGTTAGGTTGAGAGGAAAGCTCCAGCCCTGCTCAGTTGTAACAAACTCCCCGTTCCTTCAAGTTGCTGTTGCTTGGGGGCCTGTGTCTGCAGTAGAGGATGGGAGTTTTGCCACAGTATTTGCTGGAGGCTTTCATGGCATAGGAAGGAAAAGCCTCGGGTAGGCTATTGTGGGCAGCAAATGCTGGGAGACCCCAGCCCTTCCTCCCAGGCCCACCGTCCTCCTCGCTGGCTGCCCAGAGGCATGAGGGCAGGGTCAGACCTCTCTGCAGAATAAACGGGCTTTGCCTGCAGCGCTCCTGACAGTGTTGCCCTGCATCCTGCATCTCTTCCCTTTTCCCAGGCCAGCTCGTCTGGGCAGTGTGGTGGGGCACCTGACAGAGGTGTACCCGGCAGGAAGGGAGTTTGGCTGTTTCTTATCTCACAGGCTTTGCAGTCTCCGTGGGCACAACATCAGAGAGGAATGGAAGCCGATGGGCAGGGTGCTCAGGCATGGGCGGGCTGCGCCCCGGGAGATGATGTGCAGATTACAAAGCCCGTGTGAGGGAGGGTCACCTACTTAGAAAATGTTTAGTTTTCTCCACACAGGATATCATCAAGAGTGTCCCTGACAAGGAGAAGTCTGTTTATACCTTATTGAATCCTAATTAATGCTGAGCAGGGGCCCTGCGGTTTTGTGTGCCTTGCATCCTGGAGCGTGGTGAGATGCAGATCTCGGGCATTAGCAGAGGGATGCACAGTGCTTGGTCTGCCATGGGTACAAATCTGACACTGCTCGGGGTTGTTCTTTCACCTTTGCAGGGTGAGAAGTCTGCTGCGGTTTAGCATGTGTTAGGGGTAGAGATAAAACTGTAAAGAAAACAAACAGAGGAAGCCCTCCTTTCCTAGCTAGCAAAGTGATGATCAGAGAGGTCTCACCCTGCTGTTACCGATCCAGTAGCTTTATACATCAGTCCTCCTTGCTTCACAAACAAAATAAGGCAAGTGAAGCGCAGAAGCTGTGCCAGTGGAGTGTCAGGATGGGGCTGGGGTCCCACGTTGCTGCCCATCTGCCTGGCCCAGCTCCTTGTCTCCCCCAGCCCTGCTGTTGCCCTACCCCACACCCTGGTGATCCCCACCTTTGCTGGCCATGCAAACCTACAGCCCCTGTAAGTGCAGGTCGGAGCTCCAGGTTATGGTGCAGGTGTCAGCTTAAGCACTGGGGATCCTTCATAGACCACTGGTTAGAACGAGGTTTTTGTTGCACGCACCTTATGGGTAATATATGTTACATGTGGCATTTTGAGCTTTCAGTCAAAGTTGGCTTAAAGCATCCATGAAGATAATAGCAAGGCTGTGAAGCAGCGTTAACTGATATATTGGTCCTTTAATCCTGAGAGCTGGTGCCCCGAAACGTGGGCTGTGAGTGATGGCATCTCTCTGTATGTGGGAATTAGTGAACAATCCTCAGTTCATCTCTCTGCTGTAGCAGCGTTGGCAGCAAAGGTCCCGCAGCCCTTCCCCGGCGCAGCCTTCTGTCTTTGCTGATCCTTCTTGACAGCAGAACATCCACAGACCCGCACGGGAAGATGTTCAGAGCATGGGGAGAGGGAACATCCATGAGGGGCAGAGGTTGCTCTTTGCAGCACCTCTCGGGGCTCTCCGGCAGTCCTGCCAGAGCAGGGGGAGATCCACACTTAAGGCCTGGCCTGCTGTAAGCTCCGTGAAATTCAATTTATCTCCTGCAGAGAGGGAAGAGCTGTCAGACGTGGCTAGATGGTTTTTTAAGTGGGTAGAAATGCTGTGATGTATTTCAGGTTTTGTGCCTAGGATTTGTATGCCATTCCCCATGGATTTCTTTAGCATATGCTTGAAATTAAAAGTGGTTGGATCAGATATCACTTGAGCAGGAATTACGCATGAGTTGGCTAAAGGTGAATCTGGAATGTAGTATTCATTATTCACACTTCTTCTCTAGTTTAAAAGCTGCAAGTGGAGTCTTGCAGAGGTGGAAAGGGACCAGAAACAGCCAAACACGTATACGCATCCTTACTGCTGGTGTCCCCTGAGAGCACAATGAGATGAGAGTACGGGCTGAAAATTTAGGAAGCAGAATAAAAAGCTCTGTTCCCTGCTCCTGTCCAGCTGCCATGGGAGTGTGAGTGCCACCATCCCCTTCTCAGCAGAAGGTGCTGATCCGACCTCTCCGGTAGGACAGTCGAGTACTTTGTCAAGTACTTTGTCAAGTACTACCTGGGAATGGAGAGCAGCAGCAGCTGCTGGAGGTCCTGGCACCATACTGTCACCATCCCCAGCACCACGCTTGCAGCCAGGAGCCATTGCCAGGCTCCCAGGCTTCATTACTGAAATGGGAATGGCTGTGATTTTCCCTGGCAGAGCATCATATGGAAAAAACTGATTTGGGGGAAAGAAAAATGCTACTGGTCCCTAGGGCTGGAATAGCACTGGGCAAAGAGGCATGGATGGGGCTGGGCTGACAGGCACTGTCCTGTTGGCTGGGTTTTGGTGGTGGGGACAGCTCACGAGCAAGGTATGCACTGGGGCCAGGGGGATTGTGGCTTCCCCATAGCCTGAGCATACAAACCCTGCCAGTCTGCCCCAAATTAGCTGCTGGTGGGAAAATGTTTGTTCCCGGTCCTGCTCTTTGCCATGGCAACTCCAAGAGGCCGCGCTCCCTCCTCCCCACTTTGGGCATGATAAAGGCAAATTGTGCAGGTGATGCCGGGGGAAGCTCTGCTCTCATGAGGTATTTCTAGGGTAGCGCTGAGCGGTGCAGGAGCTGAGGAGGAAATGCAGCCTTTTTTTGGGAAAAAACCCTAAATCCAAGTTGCTTTAACCAAAACTCGCTTCTTCCTTTTTATTCACCATCTCTTCTTTACCAATACATCAACCACGGTGTTCCTGCAGGCAGGGCAGCCCATCCCTGGCATGGGAGGACGTGTCGTGCTGGTGGTGTGTGCCTGGTGCCTACCTCTCCAGGGTGCTGGCTGTCACTGCCTGTGCCATGCCCTAATGCTGCCATGCTTTCTGTCTTGCAGCCTCCCCCTTCATCATCGCCATGCTCTTGGCCAGCCTCAACAGCTGCTGCAACCCCTGGATCTACATGCTGTACACGGGGCACCTCTTCCACGACCTGATGCGGCGCTTCCTCTGCTGCTCCACGCACTACCTGAAGTCGCGGCCGGCGTGCGACCTGAGCGTTCCATGCCCTAATGCTGCCATGCTTTCTGTCTTGCAGCCTCCCCCTTCATCATCGCCATGCTCTTGGCCAGCCTCAACAGCTGCTGCAACCCCTGGATCTACATGCTGTACACGGGGCACCTCTTCCACGACCTGATGCGGCGCTTCCTCTGCTGCTCCACGCACTACCTGAAGTCGCGGCCGGCGTGCGACCTGAGCGTTGGGCAGGAAGGAGCTTCATGCAGCCATCCATGATGTGAGGGCATTGCCAGCTGGGACCTTGTGCTGCCGCCATGCTGCCTTCCCTGTGGAAAGCTGGGATTCGGACAAGCAAGGGGGGTTCTATATAAGTAGGTGTATATATGTCTGTGTAAGCATGTACAGATAATATAGATATCTGTTATTTAACTGAGGCAGGAGCGAGGGGAGGGCTGCTGTGGTCCAGGTTTCACTGCTGCCTGGGACTGGACAGCAGGAACCCACTTTCAAGCCCCCAAATCACTGACATTGGTGGCTTTTAGATACCACTGGGAAGGACAAGTTCTGCCTCAAACTACCCCAAACTGCTGGGGCAGATGTGCCGTGTTCCCATAGAATGCAAGGGGCAGGGTGATGGGTGCCATCCTGGCACACAGCGTTGGGCACTGCTTCCCCCCCACCTCCTGCAGCAGGAACCCCTCAGAATGCCAGCATCTGGCTGGGGCAGAGCAGCGGGCACCACGCTCTCAACACGGGTATACTTGCTTTGCTTGAAGTGCTGTGGGGCAGAGGCAACCCCCTCCCTGCATCCCTGCATCCCTGCATCCCTGCATCCCTGCATCCCTCCATCTCTCCGTCATCCGTTGTCCTTCCATCTGCGCAGTGCAGCCCAGCCTCGGCAGTGGCAGTGCTAGCACAGAGAAGGGCAGTCCCGCGACTACGGGCTAGGGGGGCAGTGCGAACAGGGCTGGGGACAAGCCATCCAGGGGGCAACATTAACACCCAGGTGCCCCTACTCTTGCCCAGCTCTGCTCCATGTGCTGCGTGAGGCTGCACACATGGGTCGGCAGGAGCCAGGGAAGCAGACACGCCTGCAGGGCCAGGGATCTGTGCAATAACACGTTTGCTGAGTGTGCTCTAAAGCTTCTCCTAAGGGGGGCGTGTGGGATTACAGCTGAACTCGATGGGGTTTAACAGAGAAACTCCCGCTGAGTCCCCTGAGGCTAAGCTTTTGCTTTGGGTTTACCGCAGGTTGCATTTAGTCTTTTACACCAATGCAATTTTCTTGCTCTGTAATGCACAAGGTCATGCTTATGGCATGGATTTTATATTGTTAAGAAATACCTGTAAATAAAGTTTTCTGAGTGTGTCTTAATGGAAAGTGGGAGGGGAAGGAGGAATAGACTAAGAAAATGAAGGAAACCAATGGGAAACAATGCTTTAAACACAAGATCCAAGTAACAAAGGATGCTTTTACAGAGTACTGCACCGAACACTTAAGACCTGCACCCCACTGTTCCATAGCATGGAGCTCGCCATGCCACAGCCTTTGGCAGGTGGGATGGCTGCAGGGAAGGGCAGCTTTTGCTGAAGGCAGTGGGAGCTTTCCCATGAATTCGGTGGCAGTGGGATCCAGTGGCTGCAGATGGATGCTTCTGCCTTTGCTTGTGCCGCCTCCCAGATCTGCAGCCAGGAGCAAGGCGTACATGCAAAGAGTAATGTGATTTGGCCTTACCTGTTGGGAATGAATACCAAAAATGCATTTAAATGTGTACTTGATCTTTTCCCTGTCATCAACAAGTACATTTCACCTTTCATGTCCTGGCATTCCTTTGAGTTTTTTTGTAGTAGCTTCAAGTGAGCTCTCAGCACATTTGCTGAATACAACCCAGCACATGCACTCTCAGTGTATTTTACTAGCCTGGTTTAAATCCTTAGGAAAGCATACAGCATCTTCCTCTCCCCGCCAGTCAAGTGATGCTGCAGCCCATTGCCAGGCTCCTGCAGCACCCCCAGGCTGCAGTGGGATGGGGACGGGGAGCAGAGCTCCAGGTTTGTCACAGTGGAAAGATATCAGATGTGCTGCAAAAAGACTTTCGTAAGGGTCAGAAGCAAAATAGAGGTGCTAACATGTGAGCCCATGCGTCACTGCAGTAGGGAGATCAGGATTTTGGAGGTTTGTTGGTTTCTGGCTGTGAACTACTAGGAAAAAACCTAAAAAATTAAAAAGAATGTAATCCCAGTATTGGTTTTAATTTTTTTTATTCCCACAAAAAGCTTTAAAAAATGCTCATGATAAAGTGTTTTTGGAGACATTTTTCTCCCATACAAATATCTAAATATCTTTTTTTTTTTTTTTTTTTTTTAACATCCATCTTGAGGCCCGATGTTGCTAGACCACCGATGCGATATTGCTATGGAATAATGCAGTCCACAATCCCAAACCACTGGAAGAGCACTAGTAGAAAATCTGGCTTGCTCTTGTCCTTGGCATGGCACTAGAAGAGACTTTGACTCCAAGTCTTTGTTGGAAGCCAAGGGAAAAAAGCACATGAATACAATTGAGAATAACCTCTGAACAACAGGACCTCCTGGGCCCTGATTCAGCAAAGCACTTAAGGCCAGAGCCAAAGAAGCATTTGAGTGCCTCAGAGTTAAAGTACGATTCATGGAAGATGGACTAAACAATTTAATTGACAGGAGAGGACGCAGCTCCAAATTGGACTTTTTTCCCCTCATCCCTGTGTTTTCACTGAACCAGAGCAGCTGGGTGCAGGCAATGTCCTGGAGGAGGCTCCTTCCTCTGCTGCCCTTGCTGTGTCAGACAAACACATTGCTGCAGGCTAGAGCTTACCTAGCATCAGACAAGCAAGCACATAGCAATATTCTTCCTGAGAACCAAGCTAAAGCTTGAAGCCAAGCTTGTCATGTCTCAACCAAAGTTATCAAAAGCCACTTGTTCTCGTTGCTCCCCACGGCGCTGCCCAGCTGCCCCTCTGCAGCCCCGGTGCTGCCCACATGGTTCAACGATCTACCACAGAGCACAGTGATGCCCCCAGATTAAGTTGTGAGCATCAAACTGCCACAAATGGTTTTACCATTGCTGGTGGCCCAGGCTCATGCTCCCAGAAAGCAGACACAACATTTCATGCACTAATTGATCTGATTTTTCAGCTTTGCTGAAATGCGAACACACATGATGAAAAAAAGTTTGTTTTCACTATTCTATCCATAAAACTTTTGTGCAGCATGATTTAATACAGAAGCTTCCACAACAACAATTATTTGCAGCAAATAATAATCCATATGCAAGTATTTCTCTTAGTGTCATGCTAGAATGAAGGGATGGAGAAGCAGGCAGGGTTTGGTCTGTTGTCCATCAGCATCTCTGCACCATGGCTTTTTACTGCAGCCAAGGGCTGTGGTCCATGAGATGCTGCTGTCTCTCCTGTGGGAGCAGGGTGCAGTGCCAAGGGTCATGGAGGGCCGAGGGCTCTTGCCGAGCCTTGGTGGGCTTCTCTTCTCCTAAAGCTGCTGGCTTTGGGATGGAGTAACGGGCAGCCCAGCATGCCTCTGACTGCAGGGAGCATCCTTGACTGCCAGCTCTGCTGCAGGGCCTGGCAGCACTGCGCAGGTCCCTGGGCACGGTTGTCCGTGTGACCAAGGGCAGGGCATGCTGCAGGAGCCAGGGAATCCTGTGTAGAGGGGTGGGTGTGCAAGGGCTGGGTGCAGCGGCTGTAGGGACCTAGATCTCCTTCCGGAGAGCAACTCTGATGTTGCTGCAGATCTTGGAGAGTGCCTCAAAGAACGGGTCGCAGAAGGTGTGGATGCACAGGGAGTAGATTCGGCTGACGCACTGGATCTCTATCAGGTAGCTCTTGATGCAGGGCACCACTGCCCAGATGTGGCAGAAGGAGATGAGGGCAAAAAGAAAGCCCCAGATGACTGCCAGGGGGATGCCCAGGATGGCAGAGAGCAGACGGTAGCACCAGTACTTGCTGACGGTGAAAGTGGTGTAGCTGGTTTTCCAGACCCCGTCAAAGCTGTATGTTCCCACAGGCTCAGCTATCACATCCTCAAAATCCACCTGGGAGGAGAGAATACAGAGGTAAAGTAGGTTTTGGGAGCTAACATGGGCCCCAGTGCAAGGATGAGGATTCATTGCAATGTGAAAGCACAGCCTGAATGGAGGGAGCTGTGCTGGGGGGGATGGATGCCCTAAACCCGGGCATGGCTGCTCAGGACACATTCTGTGATCTCAAACCCTGAGCCGTGGACAATGCTTCCAGGTGCTGGGGCCAGGCACAAGCTTGCCAAACAGGAGCTGTGCATGGGAGTGTTTACTCCAGAGGAAGCCAGAGCCCATTCCTACCCTTTTTTAGCATTCAGGGACATGGGCTGCCTGCTCAGCCAGAAGGTGGTTTGTGCTAATAAAATGCCAACAGCCCTCTTCATTTGTGATTTATTTGTTTATATATGCAAGGGCAAGGTGCTCAGTTCTGTCTGTCTGGGTTCCTTCTGCAAAGGGAGAGAGATCAGCTGGGCAATGCCCTTACAGGGATAGTGCTGTTATGTGCAGGTACTGGAAGTGTCTCTGAGTGGTAAATGCTCTTAAAAGCCTCTGACCTATGTGTAAAGATCTCACTGTGGTGTAACTCATTTCTAGGGAATACATGGCCTTTCCTTGGGAAGCTAATGTGTCTCTTTGTACATTTATGTTAAACTGCAGCCTCCGTTCGGGTTCTGGAAGCACTTTGATCATGAAATCATTCTGCATCATCTTTAATTTCCTGGAGTGGGTAAGAGGGAGAAAACACTGACACAGATTAAGAATCAGCAGCTGAGTTAGCTGGTGCTGGGGTGCCTGGGGAAAGCCCTGCTGCCCAGGAGCTGGGGCTGAGCTGCAGGTCACTGCACAGCTGCCTGATGAGCTAATCAGGGGTCAATTAATGAAGGGAGCACCAGGCTACAAGAGAAGAGTTTCCGCCTTGAGCCTTTCTTTGCTCACAGTGCACCAGGAGGGCTGGTGGAGGCAGAGCGCTGGATCCCAAGCTGAACTTCGGCACTGCCCTGAAGTCCTCACATGCAGGTACTGCTCTATTGCTTCTAAAGCTCTCCAAAGCCTTTGTGGCTGGTGTCACCACTGTAGCTGTAATACGTTCTCAGATTCTGGCTGTGGCACTGTAATGCTCCGGATGGGTTTATCTATGGCCACGTGAACCCTCCAGTCTGAACCTTCAGCTTTAGCACTCTGCTTCTCTCCTTAACTCCACTGG